ATTTTGCTAGATGGTCTAGCCATTTAACAAACACTGCTGCCGTCATACTTCCTTTTTGGGTCATTTCAATTACTGTTCCGGTTGGCATATTGTCACCCCATTCATCCTTTTTACGTTTTCCCTTGAACAGGACCATTGGCGGTATTGCCTGTCCAAAAGCATTTCCACATGCAACTATTGCGGAATTTTCTGCGTGCTCATTAGCTACATAGTGAACACGTCTTTCACCTTTCCTCGCCAACACATTTGGTTGGCGATGGATGGTGAGTCTGCACCCCTTCTCATCCACATTGTAGATAGGATGGGGCTGATTGATTAGGTTTAGTCTAATCAGCAAACTTTCTAGTTTTTTGAAGTAGTCGTTTACAATGTACTTATTTACTTTCTGTGCCCTAGCTGGATTTAAAATCTGTGCTTTCCTTTGGCGAATATTTTCATGTCTGTCCAAAAACAACTTCAACCATTTTCTACCTGCCATTCCACTATTTTCATTAAATGTGTGACGAATTTTCTTGTCACTAACATAGGAAAAGACGGATTTTCGCAAGATCTTTGGTGTAAGGGGCATTCTTGTATCCGATAATCGGATTATCCTTGAGCATAGTTCATCTTCCTGCTCTCAAGAAAAAATTGTACGAGTACCAAGTTTTCTTTCTCGCACACCTGTAAGAACATGATTGCGAAGTGTTCTTCGTGGAATTTGGTATTCTTTGGATGCACGATTTACCGACGTTCCACTGTTTATACTATCCAGTGCTTGTACAAGCGCTTCGGTTGACCACAGCGCCCTTTTCTTAGAGGGCATATTTCGACTATAGTCTCTGAAAAGAAAAAAAATCTTAATTTAAGACATCTGTCGTAATGGCCAGCGTGTCCCTAATAAGGCCAAGTGGCCGTAATGGGAACCGTTTATCATGGCCTTATTAGGCACATATAACCTTAAACATACAATTTATAAAATACAAAATATTTAAAACCTGGCGACGACAAAAATAACTAGCTGTATATGTTCTATAGACTTACCTGATTGAACTGACAACAGATTTCGCAAAAAGAAGCAGACTACATGAAAAATCGAAGACAAATTTAAAGTAGTAATTTTGTAAGGCACGTGTTGAAAATCGACACTGGCCAACTGCGCCATCTAGCGCCGCTCCACACCTGCTACATTTATGGGTGCTGACTCATCTCAATGAATGTATAGAACTGTAGAAATCTTTAATTCTAGATGTAATTAGTGTCTGTAAAATCGACGCATGGCCTTATAAGGAGCTTGGCCTTATTTGGTACAGGTACCTTAGGTGTCCATTCTCCCCTATTAACAAATTTCACCCAAAGTTGGCAACGGTCAGCGTTTTTAGGGAATCTACAATCAATAAATATATTCAAAATAAAAATATTAGATTTTTCAGCTCATGAAGATAAGTTTTCTTTAAGAAAATCAAGCACCTTGACATGCATTTTATGAAAATAATACAATCTCATGACCTGCAGTTCAAAATTTAATTGATAAATTAGCATTTATATTTTTTCGATAAATTAGATATATTGCGGATAGTTTGGTTAGTTAGGTCAGCTTCACTGAGAGTTATTAATAATAAGCCTAATAATTTTGGCAAACACGATTTTCTATAATAAACAATAAAGTCGAAATATAATATATATACCTAGGTACGTCTCTGTAATATGTTTATACTAACCTAAGGACAGTTTTTCCTGTTGTATTCTTTTTATCCATTTCAGTCCGACTTTCACAGCTCCGTAGAGCACAAGACACCATAATAATGTTCTTAAATTTGTGCAAAAAGTATCACAAAAGCCTCTGAATTTCAAAAATAAGTACAATTAACTGCAACGAAATCCAAAACAACAATCATAACGCACTTTGACATAACTTTGACAGAAGTCAGCCATCAATATGGCGTACCCGGTATCGCTCAAAGTCTCCTCTTTTATTATATCTCGATGTCTTGGAAGATCTGCATTGACAAGCCAGTCTCCCTGTTGACATTCCAACCTGATTTTTTGCCCTTCTCACCGATCTCGCTGACCTGTGTCCAGTAAGTGCAAACGGTCTTTCACTTTTTGGGAGATTCAGACAAGGTATTCCCTCCTCGCACTCCGCTTTTGTTCGATAAATGGTTCTGCCTAAGCTGTTTTCATTCTGGAATATTCGACCGATTTCGGCTGCACCCGCCCAACCAACCTGTAGATGCTTTTTCTGATTTATAATTTATACATCTTAGAGCGAAAACTTCAATATAAATAAATGTCAACTAACAGTAAAGTTAGTAAACAAACTTGTGTTTCCAAAGTCAACTTGATATTATTTTGTGTTTGCTCAAATAAAATCCAATGAATTTTGTGCCAAAACTTCAAGGACATCTTTAGCCTTCGTGGCACCATATCTCCTCCGCAAATTTCCTTAAAATCGGTGCAAACATTTCTGAAATTTTGTGGTTACAAGAACACTGACAGACTGACAAGTGGCATGGATTTGTGCGATGCAGCTACCTTTAACCAATAAAAAATCTTGTTTAGTGGAGTTTGAATATTCAAGTGATTGCAATACTTTGATAGCTTATGGTCAGGTCATATCAGATCAGATTGACTTTTTAGTACCTTATACGGCTTAATTAGATGCAAGTAAAGCTGAAAATACGGGTGACTTCCTCTAGCAATTTGTACGCGCAGTACATTGGCAATTTTTAGAGCTAGACACAACCTTCCTCGAGGAAAACTGCAAATGAAAACTATTTTGTTTTTTACAGGGTGACTTTAAAGTTGAGTCATTAATTTTCAGATAATGATTGTAGAAGGAAGATAAACCAAAGTATGTGTGTAAGAATAAGAAAAAATAAAAAAAAAATGTTACCTTGTTTTATAAAGTATCCTCCCGACAAGTACTTCAGTGCGGACCTGTATTTGATCGGTCTTGGGGCACCGGCATGCCCTCCCCTGTGAGGTCTTAAGTCACCTGATTCACGAGCCCTTTGTACTACATTAACAAAGGCACGAGGGGTTGGTTGCACTCGATTGGGAAACCGATCCGCATAAATCCGTGATGCCGCGGCAGCATTTTGTAAAGACCGTAGATAAGAATCATATCCACAAGTTCAGCATTTTCGTAAACATGTGCCATTTTTTATTTCGTTTGAGCAACGCAACAAACACCACTATTCACTCACGCGTTACCGACTGACACATTGACTGAATACAACTGAATAAAAACATCGTGATAAGCGTTTCAAATTCTTTCGCTTTTTTGTTTCTAATGCGATGAACCGATAAGGCGGATTATAACCAAACACGAGCACATAATATTATTATTGAGACAGGGCGGTACTCAAACCTCTAAAGGGCTATAACTTTGTTACTTTAATTTAACCACAAAAATGTTAAAGGAAAAGAACATTTCTCTTGATCAGATCTACTCACTGTTAAAATAAATGACTCAACTTCGAAGTCACCCTGTATATTTGTTCTTATTTTGTATGTATAGTATTTTCACAATGTTTATGATTGTATCCATCTAGCTTGTGTACTGAACTGTCTAATTTGGGGTCAGATCCTGTCGAAAAAGTGAAACTGCATATCAAGTTCCACATTTGCCCCAACATTCTCCAACTTCGAAAGCAATGCCCACATTTTGTAAAATCGTTTTCACAATTACACCCACATGCCAATCGGATTTGCCTCTTTTATAAAGCACTACATTAAGGAGTATGCAAAACCTGAGCTTTTCCCAGTCTCTATAAATTTTGTAACAGTTGCCTTTTATTGCCGATAAATCATATATTTTTTTTTGTTATTGTTGTCGCACAGGTTTAATTTGAGGTAATGCAGCGAGAACTTGAGAAGGAAGAAACAAAAGCCGATAATCTAATCTAATAATCTCCGTAGCATATTATTTTTATTCATAGCATATTATTAAATCAATTTTATTGACAAAAATGACTAGACCGGCCCATTGGCCATTTCCCAAGATAGGGCTTGTTTTTAACGGTGTATTTAGGTATATTTTTATCACGTAATTCATAACCAAAATAAATAACACGCAGACATTTACCTATTATCATGTTTATTTGAAATAACAAACATAACACATGAATACCACGGAATAACTATAATTTTTAATTTGTATCCGTTGTTTTACTTCTGTAGTCGTTTGGCTGCCTGTATATAGTAGTCAGCATCTTCCATGTCACTGAACAATTTGGGAACTGAAACCAAATTAATATTTCTCAATCAATTAAACATAATCCATCCTGATCTATTTTATAATCCATGCATTCAGGTAATTAATAATTGAAGAATTTACTCACCCTGATATAGACAATTTCTTCTTATGTTGCCTAGTAATTTCCCTGGTTCATCATGAGTAATAATTTTAGTATTCATCTCCACATATTTTCATAAACAACTCGGTTGCTTCCACCCCATGCTAGATCTTCCACCGTCAATAAATCAATTCAATCTCGAAATTTTCGCCTCGGGGATTTGTTTACATCCCAACAACAATCCGGTTTGTCACTCCGGAGCTAAAAATAAATAAATAAATAAATGTACATCTATAAATTGATATCACCTTCTGAATTAAAAACGATTTGTGTTGCATAAATATTATTACTCACCTATTGAACTATGTATTTCTTTTATAGTCAGATGAATTTATTATTGTTTTCTAAAATCTTCCAATGTCAAAGGCTGATGTCGCTGATGTCGAGGTACTATTCTGCGTACCGAACTACTTGCACACCTCGCTTGTTCCGCATAGTTGCCAATTTTATTTCAGAATTTCCTTATGTTTATTAATCAATCAAATTTATATGCAGATATGACAGTGTTGCCACATTTATTCACGATATTTCCTTGAATTTATATTCGGAACCTTCTCATTTTGGGATTAGCCGACAACGTTTGGCTCTTAATGGTCAGGTGTACAACTATATTTGGAAATGTAAAGTCGAAAAAAATCTAAACTAAAACTAAATTTTGGGATGCGACTTCCTTCCACTATCGGAGCGCCATCTTGTTCCATTCCGCTAGTGCCAGAAGACCTGAAATTTTCCTCTTTTTTGCCTGGGGCATCTCCGTTGGATTGTGGAAGAAAATTTCATAGATAATTTCCTAGGTCATTCCAGTTGTGAGTGCGTAGCATCTTTTTTTTTCATCTACCCCGAGAAATTCTACAATTTGTAGGATCTTACTGTCTTCAGCCGCACTTTTCGACAGACGGAACCAGGTGAGAAACCTTACCCGACATCATCTAGGTGAGCATTATTTTATTTTAAGTAAATGAAAATTTAGGCAAAAGACCATATTTCTCATATATATGAGTTTTCTCAAAAGTAAATAATTATTATTCTTCTAAAATGGAGTAAACTTAGTATTCTGTGGAGCATGCGTTGGTTTTATGATATTTTCCGAGTAACTCAAAGTGTAATTTTAAATCTGTTATACCGGGTGGTCAAAAATCATAATTGAATCATCTAAAATATTTAATATCTATTCGCTCCTCTTTTTTCTTGTTTTTTTTCTTTCTCGTATCATTAATATTCAATATTTTTTGGAGATTACTTTTCCAATTACGTTAATTGTTGTTAACTAAATTTGATTCGATCGCCTGAATACTATTATTCTTCCTAGGGTTTTTATTATGGGGGAATCTTCGCTACTGGAGATCCATTGACACGTTTTCTACCGGGGACCTCTTTCCAAACAGAGACCAACAGAGACCCTTTTTCCACCATAGGGATTCTTACGTCATCGGTTTTGAAGCCTTCCTCGCCCATTTTACATTAGTTAGTCGATAAGCTTTCGCATTAAGGAAGATCTCCTAGTTTGGCTGGCTTAAATTCTTGTTGTTAGCCGTTAGTAGATGTAATAAAATGTATTGATGTTAATTTTAGCAACTAATTACCCACACACCACACAGAAAATCTATTGTTTGTATGTATTTTTGTTTTTGTTTCTTGGGGATTTGGGCTAAAGAGTGCGTCTTCCAGTTTTGGCGGAAAAAAGCTGGTGGCGCCCTTAAAAAAATACCCCCCCTACTCTCCGGTGTAGCTGAGCATAGGGCCTAATTTGCCAACGCAACCTCCCCCCCCCCTCCGTCAATGGGCGCTCCAAATGGGTTGAAACTGTTATCAAACCTTTGTAATGAAACATAGTCAACAAATGCTTATACATATTTTCGAAAATACTAGTCGATATACAGATATTATATTCATAGGGGTGAGATATATGGAGAGCTCATATAGCAGCTACCGTATACGCCTAATTGATTATACACAGCGTACCAGCATCAGTATCAAAACGTCATCTGCATGTGCACGGATAATGCGACTGTATAGTGTATGTTTAGCGATAACGCGATTGAAGGCAAATGGACCATAAAATTGTTCAGCTTAGAACGGGAGATAGACGAGGAAATCCACTTGTACGCCATATCATATCTATTATGCAATGAACTTAAGTTATGATGTAATATACCCTATACATGGCTATTGTTATTTCGGAGATGAGGAGTGTGCATGATGGATGCAGCACCATGAAATGCTGATACAAATCCGTCACTGACTCTGACTTGTTACGGGTTTAATTTGAAAACCTTGTAGGAACTGCCGTCACCCTGCAATAATCGTAAACACTAAACAAGGGTAGACATATTTCTAGTTTAACTACCTGAAGATTTTCTCTATGGTTTATACGTAACTCTCCACCTATTATCTCATTTTGTAGTTGAGGCCCCTTCATCTGAGAATTGTTTACGTCTTCGTTTCTTTCCTAACCTCAATGTTACATTTTGACAAGTGTTCGGTCCTTTCAGTCCGGGAACAGTCCGCTGTTGTTCCATTGCTCCATTGCTCCTCTCGAATTTTGTGTTCCGTGTCCAAGTTGAAGAAACTTTTTGGTCGTAGCTCTGTTGAGAAGCACGCATTTTGCGGATCTTTACGCCAAATAAAGTCTAAGCATTCTTCCTTTTTATGTCTCATATAATCCTACGGGGATGTGGGAGACGGGAGTCTTCGACGCTTTTACGGCATTCTAGCCGACACTTTTAGGCCACACTCCAACAGAGGTAAGCAATTCGGCTTGCGTTAAAATGGAACCTGGCGCCATATTGGATTTTTGTTCCAGGTCTTTTTTCATCTTCTCCAACTTTTCGTCTTCTTCACCTTACGTTTTCTCCACCAAACTACTGCTGATACCTTCAGATGAAGCCCTGACGACTTTTCCACGCCCCGCCTGTAATGAGAGTTCCAAGCAGCCCCTGAGGAAGGGAGCTGATTCAGCTGTTGCCAATGTCCACAGACGCCTTGTGCTGAAACCCCGTCGAACTGCATCTATATACTCAAGCAGCTAATTTCACTTAATATGAATTATTTATCCTAACTTCACAGCTGCTGTGATCCTGAGGTATACATACCCCCGGAAACTTGGTAAGTCACTAATGTTCGTTTTCATTTGTTGTCAGGTGATCGATTAACCATTGCAAAGTGAAATTTTGAGCTTATGTGATCATTTTGAATACTTGAAAATCCTGTCCTAGCACTCTTCAGGTAGTTTGTTGCAAACTTTGTAATAGCACCCTTTAGGTGATTTATTAAAAATAGTTAAATAAATTTTGGGCAAGCACTGGAAATTGTCAATCTTTTCATTTCCCCCAGCGCCCTAATCCTCCAAATCAACAACCACTTCGAACCCCAGAAGTAACATTCATCTTGCAGGGAAGTGCATCTACAACCACCCCCCTGGCACGAAGGTAACATACTTTATGCTGATTCCTAACAAGGCACTGTCAAAATGCTCAGGATAATGAAAGCGTCTTTCCGATCAGAAGAAAGCTTCTATAGCCATTCTCAGGCAGAAAAGCTGGACAGTATTGTCCTCCCCTCCAGCCCGAAATGTGAGATTCTCCGGAAATAAGACATACTCACTAAAACTCATCAGTTGTTCGCTGCAGTTACCACCGCGGTAATTCTAACAGCATTTCATCATAATGTGCAGTTTTTTTTATATATTCCAACTACCACGAACGCCTATAGACTAAACACCCACCCGGTACGTTGGGGCTATAGGGGGATACAGGGGAAGGGGGAACGCCACAAGGACTCTGGCGAGGGAACACGTGTGCATGAAACATGCACACATTCTGGTCCCGCCTACGAGATCCACCGGGTGGTACCTCCACGTTCGACAGTCAGAGACCGTCTACCACCTACGGACAATCACAACATCCATAACCAAGAGAAAAGTTTCTCCTGGGACGGGATTCGAACCCGCACAGCGCACGGAGACTGATCAGGAGACCGAAGAGTCTACTACTGCGGCCACCGCTGCTGCCTAAAAGTGTTCTTTTACATGTCGGGGTACCGCAGCTGCTATGAACAGCATAGGGAAACTTTGTTAATCGATTTTTCATTTGATTAAGGTTAGTAGGAATTGAGAAAAGCTGTAACATGCCAAAATCACGTAACCTTTTTTTACTATTTTGATCACTTCATCATCTAAATTAATGATAGAGGACCAATTCCTAGGTCGAACCCTTTCAACCATTTTCTTTTGGCAAATTTCATAGTTTATTGATTGCATGATTTCACACGTATGATATCTTCCTTTCTGAGCGACTTGGTATTGTTGTTGAAGTCTTTTGGACACTAGTATTATTATATTTTATCAATGACTACATCAGAAATTTCCTCATAACACCTACACAAGAATGTTTGGTTTCCTATTAAAAGTATATTCAGGGCCACACATTTAACTTTCTTTTATAAAGTTACGTGTTCTGCGTCCATTCCCACGCCAAAATGGCTTAAAGCATTTCAATTAATTTTGTCAGAGATATAGATTGATTGAGGATATTCATTGATTTGAGCAAAGCTTTCGATCTTGTAAATCATGGGCTGTTGTTGTCAAAACTTAAATGCTACGGAATACGGGGACTTCCGCTTTAGTGGTTTCGTGATTATTTGTCCAACAGATCTCAATATGTTGAAATTGAAAATCACAGATCAGTAAGAGAGAAGTAGGAGTTCTGCAGAGCTCTATATTGGGACCATTGCTGTTTATAATTTTTGTGAATGACTTCAGTAGCACTAATTATGTTATGAATGCGGAGGATACATCTTTATTAGTAGATTGCAAAAATTTAACATCTCTAGCGATTGATGCTACTGAGGAGCTACAAACAACACAGCTATGGTACCAAGATAACGGGCTCCTGCTCAACGCAAATAAAACATAATTTGTTAGCTTTGCTTATGCAATCTCCGACCTCGATAATAGCTTGCTGGCTAAGTTACTCGATGGTTCTATTCAACAGGTTGACTTCAAATTTTTGGGTATCCACATAAACAACTGCTTATACTGAAATACTCGTATTGCCAACATACGTGAAAAGATTGTCCCTTACATATACTGCATTAATCAATTACATTTTGTCGTTGAGAAATCTTTGCTGTTGACTTATTACTATGCATATGTACAGTCAACTTTTTGATATGGCGTAATTGCCTGGGGCGTTTCCACCGAAACAAACAGAGTATCTGGTATGCAAGAGAGTGGTAGGTTTACTTCAAGATCTGAGCAGAAGCTATAGCTATAGAGCTTCTTTCAAGCAGCTGGGAGTACTAGACGTATATATATATATCCTTTAATTTCTTTGGGTAGAAGACAAAGTATTGCAAAAGTACACTGTTCGAACTCAAGCTTTCGAAGAATTTTTTCTTCATCGTCTGGAGCTGGAAACAATTATTAAAATAGCAACTAATAGTAATTATTAGAAAATTGTTTACTTACTATGTCGGCGAGATTGTTGCTGAAATTGTTTTTTAAACAACAGTGAAGGGATCACATAGTCGACGAATAAAAACTGGACCGATGAGGTTCGATTAGGACGGAATTATTTTATTGTTAAATGGCAAATCATTTTGAAAGGTTTTAATTAAAATTAGGCGTTGATTGATTCTGAAAATTCCACCGAGATTTCATCATCTTTTCCACTGATAACCTCCACAATATCCAACACGTGCCGGCCGTCTGACATTCTATAGCAGCGTATGAGGTGTGACCTTGAAATTTATTTTTAGATCACCCATTGTGTAGTACTGTGAAGTGTGTTGCCTAATAGTAAGGCGTTTTTGTAATGTATAGTGCAAGACGTTGCGCTATTGTTGACCGATGAATTGCGAAGACATTTTCAAAACCCAATAGAAGTTGCTTTGGAAGGGCTGTGATTTGGATGTTATCCTATCAAACAACTGAAAAATCCGTAGGGAGTATTACCACTTGAGGACGAAAACATTGAGACATTTTGATTTGAATTTATTAAGATAGTGAAAAATTATTGTGTGTAGATTGAGCGATTTTTGGGATAAATCTGTGTTGGGGGAGATGTGTTTGTTTTCCAATTTTTCGCATTTCAGCAAATATGCGTAGACGACGCTAAGTTGATTGACATCCGCTTTTTTGTTCATGCAGTTGTCTGTCATAAAGATATGTGACATTTCCAAAAACAGGCGTTTTGTTAGATGTATTTCTCTGTCTAGCACCTTGATATCATTGTATCCCATTTGATGCCCTGTGGAGTTCACGTGTGAAGCTAGAGCACATATTTCTGAATGCAGTCTGGCATCACTTTTATGTGAGGTTATTCTACCTTTAAGGGATCTTGAGGTTTGACCTATGTATGTGAGATTGCAGTTATTACAATAGATGGAGTAGACAATGCTGGATAGGCCAAGCAGAGGAACTATATCTTTCATTTTGGAGAAGACATTGTTGACTGTGAGTGAGGATTTGTAAGCAATACGGCAATTTAAAGTGTTGCATAATCTAGAAAGTGGTGTTAGATCTTTAATGTATGGTAGCACTGCGAA